AGAAAGACAGGTGAAACAGAAACCAATATTAATAAATTATACCTTCTGCAAGCGTAGAACGACAAAGGGCACAAAAGTCAAAGAGAAGTAAAGAGGAAATGTTTTCCGGAAAGTAGCTGCCGCTGCATTAGCATCATGAACTAAGCAAGATTTGGTCCCAGGGTGAATTACAGAGCATGGGATAATAGAAGGAAACTCTTCCAACTTCATAGTAGTAGAGCCCTTTGCTTTGGACAAATAGGCATGTAATGAAGCAACATCAACTGGAGAGCCTCTACAGCAATCCTTAACAGCTTTGTAGACTGGTGCTGAAACAGGCCCAGTCTTCTGAATGAAATCTCTATATGCTTTTGGAAGGCTCTCAGGACGCATTATGAAGCAATACATAACCTGCAAAACATTTTTTTAAGAACGAAGATGGATATATAACTACTTTGTCCAGATGTAAAAGAGAACAAGTTATCTAGTATCATTAGTATGATAGTATCGTATGAGAAGTTCAATCCCCTTGCACATTTGAATTATTTTGTTTTTTATTTTTTTTTAAAAAGGGAGAAAGAACAGAAGAAGAAGTTTAATCTCCTAGGGTTTAAACTTGGATATTTTAACATTTATGATATCCCAGCCACCCCCTTCCAACCACCAATCTGTGGGCAAGTACAAGGAATTAAAACATGGATGGAAAAGGCTCTTAAACATTCGCCAAAAAGGTTAAGCAACACGAGAACTACCTGGGCACATGCCAATGCAAAGAGTAAAGAATCCCCATGACTCCAGTGACTTCCCCAGAGATGAAACCGGTTCTTGGATTTGGCAGAATTATACGCGCACTGACAATTGTAAAGTCATCAGAATACAAGCCAGTAGAAAAACAGAAAAGAAAAACTTCAAGTAAGCTGGTACTGGTGACTTTGTTTTTAGCAGGTAAATCTAGTACTGGCCGTTTAAATATCTTTATCCTCTGTTTTTTTTGGGTAGTTCTTTTGTTCCTTTTTTTCTGTTTCGCCTAGGGGTGTGGAGAAGGGGAATAGCCAAAGCATGGTTGTACCTGTGATAGCCTTGCCAGAAGATACAAGGCAAGAGTCCGCCGCCTGTTGGAATCATCTAATGCTAAAATAGACAGACCTGCCACTGAACCTGCTAAAATTCTGCCCATCATCCCCTTTAGCCAAGTCAAATATATCGGATAGGATATCAACTATAAAGCTTCTCAAAGCAAAACCACAGAAAAGTAAGTTTAAACTTTTAAGTTGAGAATTCAGCATTCTGTACTTACGCATTTAAGGGTGTCTCTTTTCTTCTCAGCTTTCTTAGCAAGCATCTTAGAGCATGATATGAACCACTAAATCCCCCAAAGAGCAAACCAATTCGACATGCTTCCTCTCTTACAATTAGGTCTTTTTCGGACACAAGTTGCTGCAAAAACACAAGGATTCAAACAAGCGCAGAAAAAAATGAACTCTCCCATGTATTCATAGATGAGACCAAGGACGGACAAACAGATGAACAGACAGAAATCAGCACACATGTCCACTAAAATTGTAATATCCTCTTCCAGAAAATCTTCTTTTATATTCTCTTTTGCTTCTTCCCTGAGGATTTGAGGGTTGTGCATAGGGTCAAAGATCTGAATAACCTCCATTCATCCTTTATGCTACAGTTGAGATTGCTAAATTATTTCACTGAACTTCAAGAGGTTCGCAACTCCAAGAAAACTTATCAAGAAGAAAATACCAAGGTGAAACAAATTTAAACCATTAAAAGGTCAAAAGTTCCATCCCCTTCAAACTTCCATTCCTTACAAATTGCAGTAATATAAGTATTTCTTAAGAATACACCCTGAATGATTAGATCGTGATATGTTCATTTCTTAAAACAATTGTGGAGAGCAGAGCACAAAGTGTACTCTATCAGCATTTCACCACTAGGGAGTAAATTAATTGACGTTGAGCTACAGGAAAAAGGAACAAACAGTGGGACAGAGGGTAAATTGGCTTTACAAAGTGTTTGGGAGAAAACTCCACATGGTTCGCCCTTACTGAAAGAGCAGACTTTTATCCAAAAAAATAAAAAGAGAAAGGAAGAGAGAGACAGGAAAGTAACACATGCGTAAAGTTTCCTGTACGACTTTTGACATCAGCTGACTGTTCAAATGGTGCTAAGATACACACATGCAGGCAAAATGCATGACACACAGGAGCGTGCAACACACACTCGCACAAAGAGGGAGAGCGAGTAGCGTTAGCTCAGTAATCTTTGATTGACTAAATATCCTTATGGCCAAGCATTTTGGTAACCCACATGTCCCAGTAGCAGATGAAATCATGGAAACACAATACATACACTGCCAGAACATAAACCCCTTGGAGTGTAATCACCATTACAATGGTTCTCCAAGGTACTTAAAGGACCAAGATATCCTATCTCGGAATTGATAACCATTCCATCAACATATCAATCAATCAACTAAGGCTCAATGCCTCAATCTGAAGATATCGAGTGACTCATATCCATTCAATCTATCCAGAATTAAAATCAATATTCTTCAAGTGAGGAAATCTAAAAAATCATTTAGAACACAAAGCTAACAAGGATGTGGGTGCTTCTAGGCCAAAATGCCCCTTCTCTTGCAATCACAGGAATGCTGCTATGAATCATATCATGTATAACATCTGTGCAAAATTATTTCATCCTAGTTTCATCAAAACTTGAGCAATTTCAAAAATAAAATACAAATCTTAAAACTGATTTCATCAGAACTGAAGCAATTTTGAAAAAAGAAAATTCTGATCTTGAATCTATACTTGTACAGGAATATCTTTCTAATAAGAAAATTTATTCTAGATCATGATCTTCTCAAAACCAAAGTAGATGTATCAGGAACTAAAAAGGAGCAAGCTTTAGTTCAAACAAAGGCAAGCATTCAACAAAAGTACGAAACTGACTGAAAAACTAAAGGAGTAACTGTCAGTTCAAAAGATTTTAGTCTATTAAAATAGATTGTCCAACCGACGACAGGAACATTTCTAAATGTAACCTAGCTGAGATCAGTCAAAAGGCGAAAAGAATGTAAAACTAAAAAAATCATAAATCAAATTAATGATAAGTTAATCTAACTTACATAATTAAACAAATGCTTAAGTAGATAGGCGAGTTTCAGAATTTTGGAACCTTGAGATCGAGTAGAGAGGAATAGGACTGGCGCCGAGCTAGCTTAAAAGCACGGAGGAGAATTCCGATGCCAACGCGCACACCGTAAGAGAGAAGAAAACTTTGACAAACGTTACCAATTGCGTTAGCAACACATGATTCATCGGCATGGTCACAGGGCGGGTAGATACACCTGGCACGACGTTGCCGGCGCTGAAGCTCTTCAATTGCCTCTCTTAAGCGCTCCTCCGCCTCATGAAGACGGCGCTCGGCGGAGTCACCGCTCTCAGAAGCGTCGTTAGGTAAAACCGGCGGCGAAGAAGAGGACAGAGGACGCATTTTGCAGAGAAGGCGATCGATGAGGGGTCTCGCATCTGATCTGGGAGAAAAAGGAGATGATTTCGGGTAACTTTGAAAGATGTGCAGCGATTAGCCATTTTTGTATTTGATGATGTAATAATTCCAATTATTGTTTTAAATCCTACAAAATGTGATTTATATATTTATTTATTTTTCATCGATCAAATATATAGATATAAAATGAGGATCAAAATTGTCATTTTAAATGAACTAATTTTGTTTATAAGCTCACGTTAATCGATAAAATTATGTTATTAGTTGTTGTATCTCTTTTTACAAATAATTTGTTAGTTTAGGTTCTTTTTTATCGCTTCATTTATTTCATCATGATAAAAAAATTATTGTTGATATTAATAAAAAATTAAATATAATATTTACTTATTTTTTTTAAATATAATATTATGAAAAATTCAATTCAATTTTAGTATAGAAAATGTAAAACTCAATAAACAATAAAGTTTAATTGATAATTTTGATAGAAATAGCATGAACTAAAATTTTAAGCGATGAATTAAATATGTATTTCTTATATTATGGGGATAATTAAATGGTTATTTTATCTAGTATAAAACTAAAATTTGATGTATACAAAAGATTTTTCTAAGGTTCTTCACGCTAATAGATTTTTTTTTTTTTATAAACAATTAATTACTTTGAATAGACAACTATACTAATGACGAAAATATATGAAGCACAGAAGATTGTATCTTATAAAGAAAATTAAATAATAATTTGAGAAAATTAATAACTCGTTATTTTGTTTATCGTATTAAAATTAAAAAATGTTCACATTTAATTTTAAATATAAAATAATCAGCTAACATGTCACAAAGGAGTTTCATGATTTTATACTATTCCTTTCATTTATCTGTTCTACTTTCTTCTTAATTTTCACCTCTGACTTCCGTAGGGGTGGAGCTAGTAGCTCACATGTGAATTTGGTTGAAGTCAATATATTTTATTCAAACAATATATTTTTGTTAATAAATTCATTATATATGTACAAATATTAGATTTTGAACTTAGTTTTATCACTAAAAATCGTCATTGTAAAATTCAGAACCCATTAAATTGAAATTCTAATTTCGTTTCTGATTGTCCTTTTTTTTCTATAACTAATTTAAAGCAAGTTGTTTTTCACTTATAAGTCAAAAGTTATAAGTTATAACTTTTGACTTATTTTTGTCTTTTTACTTAAAAATAAGTTCTTGTAAACAGTTTTTACATTTACCCAAATAATTTAAAAGTGCTTAAAAGCTATTTTTAGCTTAAAACACTTAAAATAAGTTAATTCAAACCGTCAGTTTAATTTGAACATTCAAGTTACTTTGTTTTTATATCCGGCTATTCATGTCACGAAAGGGTATATTGATTAGGAAGCACGTAGAAAATTTATCATTTAAATAAATTTTGTTATAAAAATATCTATATAGGCAAGGTTAGTATAATATTTTTCAAATTAGCAGAGAAATCAGTGTTATCAAGACAAATCTAAAGAGAGATTTTTGAAACTATTTCAATATTTAAATGTATCATTCAAATATAACATATTTGTGGTATATAATTAGGCAATCATGGTGTATGACAAATACAATACAACAAGTCAATTAGTCTCATTTTTTGCTCTGTTGCTTGGAATCACCATTAGTAGAAGTTTGATCTTGCCATGATGCTTGCCATTGCTTGTCATAAAATGTAGCTTCATCAGCCAGCTTCTTTAAGTTATCAAAATCTGTCCTTTTCCTAAACAAAATTACACCTCCAACTGTTGCCAAAAGAGCAGTTTTACACAAGAAATTTCCCATTTGGCCTACCACATCAAGTCCCGTTAGTACATCCACTAGATACGCCATGAAAAATCCCACCATTGCTGCTCTTCCTACAAATTAGCACCGTCTCAGTTTATGTAACACTATTTCCTTATTAGTATAGAAACACAAATGTTATGACAACGTTTAAGGTCAAAAGTTCTTTTTTTTCTTTCTTAATTAACTTCGTACTGAATCAAACTATGTCATATAAATTGAAACAGAGGGAGTACAGTCTTGTGTACTTTTTCTAGATAAATACAAACCATTTAGCAGCTCAGCTTCAGGGAGGTGAGAATGCATCATCCATGCCCACCATGGTATGATAGAACTTCTAAAGACCACAGGTTGTTGATTTGTTGCTGCTTCTGGGAATAGTTCAAGAAATTTCCTCCTCTTTGCTTCTGCAATGTGCATATCGTTAATTAATGAATAAATTAATTCACTTAAAAAATCGCGGTGCTTTAGTAATTGAAAGACTTGTTCTTTGTAATTTTACCTACTACTATGACAGCATCCCAATCCATTTTGCCATTTTTGACAAACATAGTTAGATCCCATGTCCCATTCTTCCATCGCTTATCAGAAAACCTTATTAGATCTTCAGACTCTGATGAACCTGTAGTAGTACCACCTTGTACTTCATCATCATCATTTGTGGTCTTTGTATTATCATCAATAAGCAAAGACGATTTATCTTTGATTTCAACAACATTTAAGTGTGTTTGTTCTTCGACTTTTGGAGTCATAACATTTGTAATCTTCATCGATTTGGCTTGACGAGGCCATTGTTTCTTCTTGAAGTGATGGGAGGTGCAAGGTGTATGTGTAAATGAAGTAATAGCAAAAGCAGCCATAATTGTAAGTATTTTCTCTGGTTTGGCTCAAATTACTGATCTTCTCCTCTTGAATGAGATGGTGATAGGATAAGATGCAAAAAGGCCCATTCTGAAATAAATAAAGCTTATCCACTTATGCAACTTTTTTCTGCAATATCAGGGGCATGGCAGCCCATGTCTAATCCCTGACCATATCTGCTTCCACTTTTGGTGACTCTTTTTAAGAATATGACAAGAGCGGAGGATACACGTTACCTAGGCTGAGGGTCTATTGGAAACAGTCTCTTTATATTTCACAAGGTAGGGGTAAGGCTGCGTATGCACTACCCTTTCTAGACCCCACTTACGGAACTACACTGGGTATGTTGTTGTATAATGAGAGCAGGGGATAAACTACTGGCACCAGCAGTGAATCAAGCATGTTTTGTTCATATTTTGGGGCATTGAGCCCCAGTGAGTTTGGAGTAAAAATTTGGAAACCTACAATTATGGCCTATTTGATTGCACCAGATAGGATATTATCAGAAGTGAAATGACTACTCCGTTCCAAATTGTTTGTCAGTTTGGCTCAGCAAGACGTTTAAGAAAGAAATGAAGACTAAAAACTTATAGCCGCTATTAACATGTCATAACATTTGTGTGACTATAAAAACTTCTCATTAAAGGCAAAATGAGAAGTTTAAAGTTAATTATTTCCAAATTACAGAAATGTTTTTTAAAGGAAGATAATATCAAACAAATTGGAACAGATGGGGAATTTCAAAACTACTACTTCTATCATATCACATAAGAGTACAGATAAAACCAATGCAGTAATATGCATTCAACATGCCCTTAGTATATGTTACTCCATAACAGGCAATCCTCATGCTAGAAAATGAGGGGGGAAAACAGTTAAACACCTGAACTCATAAGAAAATGGCGACAGGGGCCATATGGCTCCAAGTTCCCAAATGAAAAATACATAAAATCTGAAGCAATTGGCGACTCAATTTATGATTAAATTGTCTCAAGTACACATTTCAGTTTGTAGAACATTCTATGGTTCATACTTGAAAGAAAGATGATGCGAATGATGTGCTGCAGGATGTGTACATTGTGCTGTGAAAAAAGTGCCATTATGCCTCCCAACCTCTTAATTGAGTGGCGCGTGCAACACGATTCACCCCCAATGTGAACGCACCCATCCGAAGATTGCAATTATGTGAATGGCACATGCCCTTGAGGTTATGAAAGGCTCTTGTCATGTATTTCTTAAGCTCCCTATTCACCTTCTCCTCATCCCACATAAATCCTTGAATATTCTGCATATGAAAGAAAATTTTTTGAGAATAAAAACTCCAAATGTTCATTACATCTCAGTTGTTTTTATCCTGATTTTCAGATAAAAAGAATAGACTAAGTACATGTCTCATCACCAGTTAAAGCGAGATTTTAGAGTTTGAGAAAATTAAATATGCCTCCAATTCCTAGCCCTACCATTCCCACCAAAGTGTAGAAAATAAGCAACCTATATACCTAGAATCATTTGATCTACATGGTTTTCTATACTCATCTTAAGATGTCGGTGAACTTAGTAACTATATTCCTAACATTTTCTTGAGAAACAACTTTACAAAGACAGGAGTGATAAAGATGCAAGATTTCCAATTAACTGTACTGTTGCATCTCCCAGTACATGATTGCTTCAAATATTTTTCAACATAAACCCTTCATGATGCTCTATGTTGTAATGGCATAAATATCAAAAGTTACCTGAACCCATTCAAAATAGCTGACAGTCACACCTCCAGCATTGGCATAGATGTCTGGAAGTATTACTACTCCTTTCTTCGATAAAATCTGCAGAAGGCAATTGTGTGAGGAAAACTATGATTCATGCTAGTCCAAGAGACTCGAGACTCCCAGAAAAAAAAAGTGATACCTCATCAGCATCTGGATCAGTAGGATGGTTTGCTGCTTCTATAATGAATTTGGCCTTGACGTTATCAGCATTTTCTCTTTAAACAACAAAAAGATCAGAACATACAAGGACAAGTAAGATACTCTACATTAGGTACATTTAGCTCACAAAAAAGGGAGAAGTTTCTATTAGCTCCAGCGTATGCCCATAATTTTGGAACAGTTGCTGACATTGACTTCTCTATTCTCTTGACACAAAAGCAAATTTCAAGAATTAAACAACAAATTTCAGAGCAAGATAAAGGTTGAACCTATTCAAAACTCCTCCCAAAGCACAGGGGATGAGAACGTCACATTCATGTGTTAGCAATTCATCAGAATTCATCACATCCGCACCAGCAAAATCGATGAGCTTTCCTGTTTTTTCTTTATGACTAAGCAAAGCTGGTATATCGAGCCCATTGGGGTTCTTGACCGCTCCAGTTATGTCACTCACTGCAACTACCTTGCCACCTCTCTCATGAATGAGCTTTCCTGCCCACGCTCCTACATTTCCAAATCCCTAAGGAATCCAAATACATATTTATGACATCATTTCGACCAAATATTGTGGAATGTGCTAGGACTAATCTGATTGCATAATAACCTGAATTGCGAAAGTCAAATCCTTAACATGCTTCCCATATTCAGCAAGCAAAGCTTCTGTAGCATAGACGACACCACGTCCTGTCGCAGCTTCTCTTCCCAATGACCCTCCAAGATCCTAAACAAAATGTGGCAAAGCATGATTACAAGAATCATACATAAATTGTTTCAGTTTTAAAAGGTAATACTAGCATATTATGAAAAACTTACAATTGGTTTTCCAGTCACAATTGCAGGTGAGTGACCATGAAATTTTGAATACTCGTCCAAAATCCAGGCCATAGTCTGTTGACAGCAAGCATCACATAGACTATTACTTGCATCTTATTCTAAAGTTTCAAAATGAAGAACATATATCGACAAACTTGCAAATAGAATTGTGTTACTAACCTGCGCATTAGTGCCCATATCAGGTGCAGGCACATCAGTATTAACTCCAATTAGATCATGAATTTTCTGTGTGAAAACACGAGTAAGTCGCTCCAACTCGCTCACACTTAAATCCTTTGGGTTACAGCCTATTCCACCTTTAGCTCCCCCATATGGAATGTCGGCTACAGCGGTCTTCCAAGTCATCAGTTGAGCAAGGGCATTTACCTCATCAGGGTCAACCTTATAGAAATTTTATAGCATCTCAGTATAGAATCGTTTATTAGTGGAGCTCTAATCATAAAACGGTAGTAGATTTGTAGAAGGATGTAGACTGTAGTGAAGTTAAATCAACTATAAAAGAGAGAAATCATTCAGATACAAATGTTATACCAAATAACAAGAGTTGATCATCAGAAGAATCGATAAACTACAGCTCAAGAGTGTGAATGTAGCAATTCCGATGTATTCTGGAACTTCTTGTTCCAATACTAAATACTATCTGTCTTTCAAAAGAAATTAGGAGTTCTCTAAATCTCACATTTATCTTTATGATTACAGTTAAGTGTTTAATCAACTAAAACAGCTTCTAGCATAACACCTCACTAAACATAATTGTAACAACAACGACTAACAATGAACTGCAACAAACACTTAAGTCTAGACATGGCTGATGAAACAACTACTACTAGTTTTTATCACTAGCTTTATTGCCAAAAGCAATAAAAACAAAAAATGATATGTGGGGAACCTCCAACTGCAAAATACTTTCGCAAAGCTGAAGAGCTAAATCCCATTCCACAGCTATTGTATCATTTTTCTTTTCTAATAAAACCAGTGCTCCATGTCTGAAGCACCTCATCAAGTGTTGCATAACATGAGTTATCGATACCATGATTTCTTTTACAAGCAAATGCCTATATGCATATATAGTGGTGAATCTTATCAAAACTAGAATTCGATTAAATTATCAGTTCTAATTGCATTTGGATATCTAGCATCAATAACCAACCATCTAACAATCCTGGTCTTCATAAGCTCTTATATGAATAAGAAAAGCTTATCTTCGAAACACATATACACAAGAATTCACCTATCCCTCGAAAACCAACATCAGAGCAGCATGACTAATATACAACGATTCTCTTTGAACAAGAACACAATGGTAGACGATTATCTATCATGATTGAAATTCCATACATAATCCCCAAACAGTAATTTGTTTTACCATATCATATCCACCTAATTTTGATTACTCACAAAGTTGTCATAAAATACAAGATCCAATCACAAAATTGCAGTACAAACAACCATAGTTGATTTTAAAGACGATCAGTCAACTAATAGTTATAATTTACCTCAGGATGATATCTAATTCCGCCTTTCATAGGACCACGAGCATTATCATGCTGCACTCTGAATCCAACATAGGAAACTAACGTTCCATCATCCTCGGGAATTGTGCATTCCACCTGATCAAACATAATCTATATCATGAGAATTCTATTTTTATACTCAGACGAATAATAATTTTTTTAAAAAAAACCTTAATTTCTCTGAAAGGAATGAGAAGACTCTTTTCGATTTTGGAATCCAAGCCAAGAATGCGAGCCGCTTGGCGGAAGTTGCGGTTGGTTGCAGCAAGAGCGTTCATGGCAGCAAATTGGTCTGGTGAGAATTGTATTCACTTAGTAAACTACTACTACTACTAGTATCTTTTTCTTGGTCCTACTTGCTCCTATATTATATACACTATTTTGGAAGACTAAAGAATATGAAGGAAATTGACTAGGATGTGACACTTTTGCCAAAGAATTCCTATCGATCTCCGTTTAATTGACTAGGATGTGATACTCTTAAAAGAATTTCTATTTGTGTCTATTTATTTGACTAGGATGTGGCACTTGCCAAAGAATTTCTATGAGACACTTTGACAACGAATTTCTATCTAACTGACTAGGATGTGACACTTGCGAAAGAAAAAAAAAGATTTTTGTCTATATTTATTTAATTGACTAAGATGTGACACTTGTCAAAAAATTTGTGTCTATCTCAATTTTAGTGACTGGGATGTGACACTTACAAAAGAATTAATACTATCTATATTTATTTAACTGATTAGGATGTGACATTTATCAAAGAATTCATGTCTATTTCTATTTAACTGACTAGAATGTGATACTTGCAAAAGAATTACTATCTGTTTTATGCAACTGATCAGGATGTGATACTTGTAAAATAATTTATGTTTCAAATTAGGAAAATAATTCAAAATACTCTTCTTACTAATGGTTACTTCAAAATAAGAAAAAAAAATCAAACTTTACCCTTGAACTATTCAAAATAGGATGTTTTTACCCTCTATTTAAAGTTCGGGACAATTTCTCTTAATTGTAATGACTTGAGCAAAAACTTATATTAGCAATTATGAGATTAATTTGACTATTTTAAATAATAA